GACACTGAAGAGGCAGGGTGAGGCCAGACCTGCACTGGCATAACCCCTCCTGGCCCCCCACCCCTGCTTAGCCCCCCACTGGCTGACATGGAGCTGCATCTTGGGGAGGAAGCAGTTGCTGCTTCTATCCAGCCTTTGTCTGGGCTGAGATGCAGCTGCCTCTAGGATGAGGCACCTCCACTGGGACCCTTCATGCAGCTGGATATGCAGTTGCCTCTTGTGCCATGGATACCCTAACCGCGCCTCTGTCTGCCATCCCCAGAAAGCCCGGAGGCCGTGGTGTTTGCTCGGCAGTCTTCCATCGGCCCGCAGCTGCCACTGCTGCTGGTTTGCCGGGTCACTGGCTTCTACCCACAGCCCATTCGTGTGACCTGGCTGCAGGATGGTGAGGAGGTGACTGCAGGTCCGGGGCTCAACTCCACCGGCCTCCTGCCCAATGCTGACCTGACCTACCAGCTGCGCATTGTTCTGGCCATTGACCCGGGAGCTGGGCACCACTATGCCTGCCATGTGGAGCACAGCAGCCTGGGGAGCCAAGGCCTTGTTGTGTATTGGGGTAGGTGCAGGGCAGAACTGGGTATTAGGGGATGCTCTTAGGGATGGGGAGTGGCCAGGCCCTTGGAATAAGTGGCTGCCATGGATGGCTGGCTCCAACCCCTGACTCCATGCTCCTGCTTGGGTGTTGCAGGTTCCCTTCTCAGGGGCTCAGTTGTAGAGCAGTGAGGGATATGAAGGATGCAGGGAGGGGGTGACTAGACTAGGGGGGTTGGTGGGGCAGGATGGGCAGCCCGGACACATGAGTTCCATCTAAGTGTTGGGGTGGGGGGCAGAGGCAGCAGGGGCTCATGGGAGGCAGGTGAGGGGAAGCTGTGGTTCCACTGCCGGCTCTCGCACTCTTTTAGGGCCTGGTGGGCACTGGGCAGTTGGCTTGGCTGTGAGCATTGCCATTTCATTGCTGGCTGCAGCAGGTTTGGCCACTGTCGTGTGGTGGAAGAGACACCGTGAGTCCTTCTCCCTTCCCCAGGGGACAAAGGGATGGTGCCCCCAATGCATGCATCCCGAGCACACCACTCTCTGTCTCTCCTTGCAGGATACATGCAGCCACTGCTGTAGCTGTTCCCTGCACCCCCGAGTTCTTCAGTGACTGTGATTCTTGAACTAAGCAAGACCAGCCAGACCTAACACCCTTGGATCAGCAAAAAGGGGTTGGTCAGGCTAGAAGCCTGGACACCTGGGTTGCCTACCAGGGCTAGGAGAAAAATGAGATTGGGGTAGGGGAATGGTAGTTAGCAATCAGGTTGGACTGGGATCCAGGGCACCTGGGTTCTCTCTCAGGTTAAGGAGGGAAGTGGAGGCTGGTACGCTAGAGCAAAGGGGACTGGGAAACTGGATGCGTGACTTCCCTCCCAGTTGAGGTATGCAAAATAAAATGCTTGGGATCAATACTGACTCCTGGTCATCATGTCTTTCCTAATTCTGCCCCTAGGCAGGGGACATAGCTAACAGAGAGGGCATCCGTGGCTTAATGACTGGTAGCAGCTGCCTAGAAAGCAGTCTGGCGGTGGTGTGCTGAGCAAAATGGCCTTGCGTGCTGTGCTCAGCACATGTGCTGGGGGTTGCTAACTTGTGCAATAGAAGGTATGAATGTGGTATGTAGGACTAATGAAGAAGAAGCAGATTGTATGAAAAAACGAAACAACTAGGAAAGGGAAAGTTGTAATGGCAGCAATTAGAAGCAGACTATTGAAGACCAAATGCCCGTGCAACATCCATGACAAGAAGTTCAGTTCCAGCTGGTGAGATAAGGAAAACCTGGTTACTTGCTCTTGGTGTATTAGGTGAACATTGCCCCCCCCACACACACCCCTACCCCATGGATGAAGGGAAGGACATTTTTACTGTGCTTTTTCTTTTTTGTAAATAGTTTTAATATTAATTCTATTACTTAACAGTGTCCGTCCCTAGGATCCCTTTGGGGTAGGGGGGGTGTCACCCTGTGCTGGGGGAAGTGGGTGGGGGAGCCCCACCTGATACCTGGGGTGGTGTTAGGGAGAGGAGAAGAGATAAAATGAAAGTAATATAAAGCCAAGTCTATTTTGCAGGGGCTGCTGGTGAAGGGGGTGGCTGCCTCGGCCCCTTGGTCTTGGGAGACAGCAGAGGTGGTGGTGCCCCAGGTGCTGGCCTGGAGGCCTGTGTAATGCTTTGTACGTAATTGTTCAGGCCTGTTGTACCACAGGATCTATAATTTGGCTTTTTATCTCATTGTGCCTGGTTCCTGTTTGTCTCCCCCCCCGCCCCGTCCTCTCCAGGAAGTCACTCCCCATGATTGCCCTACACCCCCCAGAACCCCCAATACATTCCCCGAACCCCTGCACACCCCCTGGGAACACAGATCTCATGCCTTGCCTAGGACGAGACCAGACATAGTGATGGCAGCTGTTTCCCAGGGTACAGCTGCTGCGTGCTAACCATCTCCCCCTGTAACCTGTAACATGCTTTGAAGAGACTGTGTCCACACCCAAAACCACAGGACACGCACAGATGTGGGGTCCTACATTGGTGGGTCTCCATTGTTTGTTAGGTTCAGGGCACAACTGTTTTAGACAAGGGTACTCCCTGTTCAGCTCAAGACACCTCCTGTTAAACTCAGTGCACCCCTGTTAGATTTAAGGTCCTTCCCCATTATATTCAAGATACCCCCATGGTGGATAAAGATACTTCTGTTCAGATCAACACATCCTTGTCAGGCTCAGGACAACAACCCTCCCCGCCCATCCATTAGGCTAAAGGGAGTCCATTTTAGCTTCAAGGTATCCTCTGTTAGCTCAAGGTATCCCATCTGTTAGGCTCAAGGCCCCCCTCAGGAAATGCCAGCTCTTAGTTTTCACTCCTTTGTTTTTGATCATGGAAAAATAACAGAGCGGTTTTTGTTTTATGTCAAAAGGCTCGGAAAGCCCCGGCCTGGCAGAGGTCTTGTAGCTCTGAGGGTTCTTGTTGGAAGCCAAGGGGTAGATCCAGTGAGTTGTATGTGCCACCTAGGATGGCTACTGGGGTGGCACCTCAGAAGGATCTCAAGGCACCACAGCTGAAAATACCGGCACTAAATCAGGAAGCACCAAGCAGGAAACCCCAGCAAGGTGACTATCTAGTCTCCTCTTGAAGATTTCCAGGGTAGGTGATTGCACCACATCTGGAGGGGGTTTATTCCACAGTCTGGGCACCCTGACTATGAAGAAGTCTTTCCTAATGTTGAGCCTGAATCGGTCTGTGGTGGGCGCAGAGATCCCACCGTAGTAAAACAGCAGGGTATTCGTATCCCACTGCTAATGCCACGTGTGGCGAGCCAGTAGCAGGTGCTCCTGCATTGATCCGCC